GCGGGCGGGAGCGACGGCCGCTGCCGGCAACGGCGCCTGCGGGTGACCCGCGCCGGCCGGTTCCTGCTGGGGCTGCGCCTCCGGAGCCCGGCGGGGCGGGGGGGGGCCCGCGCAGCCGGCGCGGGTGACCCGGTGGATGTTTCTGCGGCTGCGAGTTGAGCAGAAACGGAGGCGCGCGGCTTCAAACCGCCTTGTTTTTACCGTAGCCTGTAGTTTGATGGGGAATAGAAACGCAGGCGTTTAGTTGGCAAGGGGCTAGTCGATATGCAAAACAGATGGGGCTGCAATAATAAAAACTCCTTCGTCCTCTTGAAGGGAGGGGGGACGCGGCTCAAATGGAGCAAGTGAGAGCTGGGAGTTTGACTTTGGTTCTCGCTTGAAAATAGAAGCCTTACTACGCACGGGCTTTCGACATCTTATGCGTGATTGAAAAATAATTAGCGTCATAAGAAATTAGGAGGGGGGTTAAAATCACAGCACCGGTGTTTTTCTGGAGGGAGAGGGATGGAGTGCTGCCCCGCAAAAATACTTCCACCTTTCCAGCTATGAGGGGTTTTTGCCGTTGGGAAGCTGAGCTTTCATGCCAACTCTTGTGTTACCTGCTAAGCTGAGATTTGACTCAGTTTTAACTAGGAAGAGTTTTTCATGTTTGTTTATTGAAAAAAATACTTCAGCCGTAGGAATTCCTTCACCAATTTGAATTTGAGTGATAGAAACCTTTTCCTATGGTTTGGACTTAAGATGTATTTAGATCCTGCTTTTTCACAGACTTAGTTTGGCAGGTTAGATTATTCCTCAGGTTGGAGTTCTTTAAAATGAAAATACTTGCATTCTCTTTACCATATGTGGGTGTGATCAAGACAAATATCTTTAAAAAAAGTTAATAATCAAATATCCTAATATATGGCCTCTAGTCAGCACCTAGGGCAGGAAAGCAAGGATATTAGGTTATCATGTGTTTGGAAAGCGATGCAGATTTTAGGATAGGAAATGGTTAATGTTATTTTGCCTCTGTGTGCATATAGCTTTGCCTATCAAGAAGAAAAAAAGCTGCAAGTATTTCACGGTATATTTAGGATAGATTAAACGTTGTGGATGGCCTTTGGAAGACCGTCTGCAGCTGAATCACAGTCTGGACACCATCCCTCTTTGATTCCGGAGGGATTAGAGAGTAGTTTGAGGCCTTCCTTGCTTCTTTATTTTGAATTGGAGCAAGAGAACTTTTAAAATGTAATTCCTCGTTGGTTGGAGTTGAATGCAAATGTGGTGTGTGAAGTCTCACTTTCAGTTCCTCTGCTCTGTTGTGCCCAGCAGGTACTTCCTGTGGTGCAGCTGCGATGGTTGAGAGTTAGAAACCTTACTTCTGGAAATACCTAGCTAGTCCCAGCTCACCTTTATCTTAATTTATTTCTTGCCCTATGAATCCTCGGTGTGCAAATCACGATCGTCTGTCTTGATCGGTCTTCTCTTGCCTTTAAGGAGCTTTCAGTTAACTGTTGAATCTTTGGGAAATCCAGCTAGTGTCATAAGTGGAAAAATCATAATTGGTGATAGAAAAAAAGCAATGTTGGTGATTATCTGATCTGAGACAAATAGCACGACGCGGGCTTGGAATTTTAAAATAAATAGTATCTGCAGGAGATGTTGCCTGGGGGTTTTGTTGGAAAAACTAGAATGCCTTTTTTTTTTTTTCTCTGTCTCACTAAAGTATGAGGCTGCCAAAATCAAATGCGTTGTGAGAAGGCTTTTGGTATGCTTTTTCTTTTGAAAAAGATTCATTCTCCATGGCCTTATCTGAAACTTGTACAAGGACACTTGCTTTCTAAAGTTCTTTTTACAGATTCTGTATGCACAGTGTAGCAGGACTGCAGTAAAATACTATGTAGAAGTAGTTGTTTCTCCAGTACCTGTTCTCTGGTAGATTAGTATAATTTCAGTGGTAAGCCAGAGGTGAAAAGTTACCAACTTCGATAGGATTTTGCATTACTGTACTTTCTTGCTGTCTTCAAATCATTTGCATGCTGCTCCTTTGTTTTGAAATTAATAGCGTATGACCGGGCAACACGTGGTACCTGGTTATTACAGCAGGCGCTTTTTTTTTAATGAGCATTTTAAAAATGGAGGGGGATTTGCATTAAACACTTGACCTTTTATTCAGATTCATTTTCTGAATAGACTTCTTTTTTCCCTTGAACAGACAAGGTTTTTAGTTTATTTTTATGTGGTTTTTTTCTTGCAGGGTAGCTGCTGATAACTGATTAGTTTGCATGTAGGACATTTGTTTTTAGCTCTTTAAGTAGAGTTTTGAGATTGAAACGAGGTGGGAAGGAACATTAACATGTGCCAAATCGCTGCTTAGTTTTTAGGGTGACTGAATGTCTAAACCAGGGGCATTGTCACCTGCCTGATGCTTAGTTTTGTCTAAGGAATGACCGCAGTCTAGTCACTTTATTTCTCTGCTTCTGTTTATTCATCCGTAACTCAAGGATAATTAACAATTCCTTCTTGCGTTTGCCGTATGTCATTGTACATGGGATAGCTATTGTAATTTGCAAAATAATGGAAACAGCAGTGTTTTTAACTTCTCCAGTGGCTGAATCACTGTAAATGCATTCCTTTTGGAATTAAGTTTAAAACAGGATGGTTCTTTCATAACTCCTGTCAGCCCTTATGATAGCTTTTTGGCAGAGAAGTTCAAAGAACTTCCATCTTATACTTCAGAACTGGGGAGGAAGAAATCTACTTTTGTCAAATGGCATGCTGTTTCTTAACTGTGTAATCTTGTTGTAGGCTTTTAAACCTGTTATTTAACAACAGTGAGGACCCCCCTCCTTGCAGGAAAAAGAAACGTACTTTAGATGGCTCTAGAATTCCTTGAGCATTTACAGTACTGCAGGACCTGAGAAAAGTAATGACTAAAAGTAATGCAATTTCTAGATGCTTTCTTGGGTAGAGGAGAATGATGTGTATTTTTGCTAATACAAGCACTTTCTGTACAACATAAAATTGCCAATTTCTAAGCAAATCAGCGTGTTAAGTCTCTAGAAAAATATTTCAGAGTGGCCTTTGCTAATTCTGATGGAATTAAGTGACTACTTGTCTGCAACTTGGTTTAAAAACAACTGATAATATTTTGACAAGCATTACTGCTGGCGGCCAGTTATCATCCAAAAAGATATGTTCTAGGTCTGTCCCATATTTGGGGTAGAGCTCAAGTTGCCATAAACTTTATTTTGTGGGTGGCAGCATATTACTCCCAAAATATTGCTTTAATAGCACTGGGACCACGATGAGCTCTAAAAATCTATAATTTATTTAATTAAAAGGTACTAAAGTAGAGTTTGTAGTGATCTGTAACTTTTCCCTGAGCTTTTATGTTTATGACAGTAAATAAAGCAAAATAACAAAGTATATTATTGTTTAAACAGTTGATGTTCTACTCCCTATTAAAAAAAAAAAGGCGTGGGGCCGGTGGGCGTAATGTTCTGCAGCAGCATCAGGGGGGACAATTTGTTTCTTACTGGCTCTTACGAGATCCCAGTA